ACAAAGAAAGGAGAGAAGCAACAAAATGCTCCTATGCTTGATGCAGGTAGTCTTTTTTCTATATGAAAACCATGTGATAGATCATGAAGGATTCCCACTTTTGAAAATGAAAAGAAAAGAAATAAAATGATGATAATATGCACAAGAACCAGCAGTTATAGGATATACAATTTTTGAGTTAATATGCAGTTTTAACAAAATGATGCTAATTTTACTTTAGCTCAATAAAGTCCATTCGTTTTACTAAAACTTAACACAATTCTTTTGCGACGATTCTTCAGCTACAGTGTTATTGCTTTGAAAATGTCTCCCTCGTAGACTATAAAAACATTTGTCTTTTTATTGCTTCAGTTAATTGTTAAACCGATATTGAGTCCTTCGAGATGAGGTTAAATTTTTCTAAATATATTTATATAGAAAAATACATAATTATGGTTTACAACTATAAGTTGTTTGGGAAAAACATTAAGAATTTGTGAAATTAAGAAATTTGAATGTTAAAATTAAAGAGAGTAGGATAATCATGTTGCTCTTGCTAGGGTGACTTTTTCTATATCATTTTGTACATGCAGCTATTTAATTCTGCTGGATAATATTGTCAACAAGCTGGCTATGTATCCTTTGAACTACAAAAAAGGGAAAAGAGAGCAGGAAGAATGGTTATATATAAATCAAAATACAATTTTTAGACATTTGAATAAATATTTTTTTCTTAAAAGAAAGTAGAAATTTAATCTCCTTTTAATTTACTGCCTCCATTGCTTATGATCTTTTAAGGAGGTGTTTGGGGATTTTGAACTTTATTTTTTTTATGTAGATTGTCAGACGTACTTGGTCTTTACAACTTAGGTTTTCTGTTAAGCATCATGCATGTTTTGTACCGCTAAGGGAGATAATGAGTAGACGTCAAATCTTCAAATAAAGTCTGGCCTATTGAAGATAGTTCATGGTCCGGTAAATTACTAAACAATTGTTGATCTATAAAATCTATATTTTTGTTTTTGCAGTATTTTGATCCGGAGCTAAAGAAAATCATATATGAATTTAAAATGACCGAGTCTGATTGTGGCCCTGCTCGTGTTCAGGATAAATGTTTGTGAATTCTGATTTTTGTCAACTCTCACCGTAAGATTGTTTCTTGTTTGGTCTTTTGTCATTCTATTCCTTGTCTATTTGTAGAATGTGCAAACTTTTTCCTATACTTTCTCCTCCACAATTAAATGCTAAAGCTCAAGTGTTTTGTAAAGTATTGTTATGGGTCCAAAAACCATCTCAACTGATTTTCAAACTTTGGTTTTTGGTCTTCAGCAGGGGCATACGCTATTTCTCTCTGTTGTTTCATCTTTGAACTAATTAGTTTTTTAATAATGTATTCAATTGTTATATGGGATATTTTATTTTCATTCAGCATGTGATATTTATTGTAGTTCATAGAATATTTTATACCCGTACCTTGCATTTTCTGTTGCCTTTAGGTTATGATCGTGTGTTGCCTCAACATTTAGAAACAAAATCGAGCTGGAGCACAAGCTTGGTTACTTTGTGTGCTGAAGTCTTTCCATACCATTCATTACTGGTACCCTCCTTCCGTTATGTTCGTGTTGCTTTTTGTATTTCCGGTTCTTTATTAATCTTATGCATATTCTTTCCCCTTCATAGAGTGCCTAAGGACTGCCCCTTCACAACATGTGTCGCTGATTGATTTTGCATTTCTTTCTCTTACAATTTTCTCCCCCCATTGGGCATAACCCACGCGCATCGCGCGGGTCAAAGCTAGTATATATATATATATATATATATATATATATATATATATATATATAGAGAGAGAGAGAGAGAGAGAGAGAGATGGGGAGGTTCAAATACGAAGGACTACTTATATGAAAAATGAGAAGTAATCTTAGCCGTTAAAATGAGAAAACGAGTGGATCAGATCAATTTTTAAGGGAAAAATTCGGTGCCAAAAGTGTAATTATTAAAAACTTTTTTGAAAACTAACGTGACAAATGTGCATCACTACGGAGGAAAAGTGCATTAGACTAACAATAAAGTGCTCGCTTTCGGGAAAAACATAACAAGTATAGAGATCGTTCCTCATATTTTTTTAGAAGGTGAATGTGCATCATTACATATTACATATGCACTTTTGCTATTATGTACGGAGTATTACACATTTTTGTTGATCGTGAGTTTTGATCTATACCATCTATTTTTAAGTAATCAAGAATTCAGATTAGTTCTCAGTTTTCATGGGAAGACCTCCTTGTCAAGAATCTAATACAGAATCATACCTGATCAACTGATCTCGTAAGCGAATTAGAAGAAGAATGGCTTCAGACCTTGTCAAATTGGGCGGATTTCAATGAGCGAAGAAGAGTTGTTGATGAGCGATGATGAAGAGAATATGGATGAGGTTGTGGAATGAACTGTGAGTCGATGATGGTCTGGGGAGTGAGAAGGTGATCGATCGAGAAAGGTGAAAGGTGTTATCCGAAAGCAGTAGATCTTTGGATCCCGCGGCTGAAGTGATTCTACATGTAGGATGATTATACCGAGTATATAACTATTTTGTTATTATTATATACTTCCCCGTTCTCCAATACATGTCTCTCTTTCTATTTTGGGTTGTTCTTTAATACTCCCTTTGTCCTCTAATTAAGTTCCCGGTTTGACTTCACACATATTAAGAAAATAAATTTGACTTTACTGTAGAGTGCACTGTTTTGCACTGTTCAAACACTGCTTTGACACTGTTTTGCACTGTTTGACACTATTTTGATGTAGATAATTTGCCAAATAAGGAAAGTAAGGAAGTGTGAACTTAATTTAGGGACTGCCCAAAAAGGAAAGTGGTAACTTATTTGTGGGACGGAGGGAGTATTTGTCTCTCTTTCCATTTTAGAAACTTTTTTTCAATAAATGTACCAATTTAACCTCATTTTCTTTCCTACTTTTTTATTCTCTCGACAAACTGGTCGGATGATAACCAGAGTCTTTTCCTGTTCTTGGAGCTCAATCACTAAGGCAAGGCTGCTTTCCGAGTCGGCAAATTATACGGTACATCCGGGTGTACATATACACCCGGTATTTTTGCAATTTCCTGCAACTTCAATCCTTTTGATTCTTCTTCTGCCGCCATCCTTCCTTTTATTTCTTTTCCAGCTGCCCTGTTCCTTTTCTTTCTTTTCCAACCATCATTCTATTTGATCTTTCCTGCTAGTTGGTTTACATTTTGTGTTTTATATTTTTTATTTTATTGTTTTGTTTCTTTTAGGTTAGTTAGTTTACTTTGTTTTCTTTTATCTTTTTATTCTTTTCATTTCTTTCTTTTCTTGTTTCCTTCTTTCTTTTTCTTTATACTCTGTATATTAATACCGAGCACATTAGAGAGCTTTAACTCAAATAAATAAAGTGTCTAAAAAGAATGGACATACACAAATTAGCTTTTGAATTTTTGAAAACTCATTTTATAAGTTATGCATGTCCATTTAGTACCTTCGTTATGCTCATTTTAAAATGTTATATCAATGCATGTTTCAAAAATCTCATATTACATTAGATTCACATATAATTTGATTATAGACACGAGACCACAAATCATGACACTCAATAGCACGATTCTAATACTCAATAACGTAGGTTTGATGCCCACTGAAAATGTCTTGATGCTCAACGAACAAAACTTACAATTTTTATATCAATGCTCATCTTGTAAGTTATATATGCTCATTTGTATAGGTCTGATGCTCATTAAAAATTCATTAATGCTCATTTAACATTACGATTTTATAAGGTTTGATTCTCATTAAAAATTCATTAATGATCTTATAAGGTTTGATGCTCGATGAAAACGTCGTTATGTCAAACTAACAAACTTTGCGATTTTCATATCAATTACTCCCTCCGTCCCGGAAAATTAGTCCCACTTTGACTTGGATCGGAGTTTAAGAAAGTGAGAATAAAGTGGAAATGTATGGTTGTGGTTGAGTAAGAAAAAGGTAAATGAATGTTAGCCACACAAAACTTTCCAAAAAGAGAAATGGGAACAATTTTTTGGGACAGCTCAAAAAGGAAAATGAGACTTATTTTATGGGACGGAAGGAGTAACATTTTGAAAGTTACGTATGCTCACTTTGTATTGATGTTATGCTCATTTTAAAATGTCATATCAATGCATATTTCAAAAGTATCATATTACACTAAATTCACATATTGAAATTCATAAGAGTTTATTATAAATATAATTTAATAAGTTTTTATAAAAGAAAAAATAAGAAAAAGAACAAAAATTAGAAAATATGAAGTTGAGACTGTGTTACTCATTGTTAGCCTCGTAATACTCAATAAAATAGGTTGGATGCTCACTAAACGTACAATATTGCTCATTTAGCGGAAGCCGTGAATTTTCGCTTAAATTACAAATATGCCACCGAATTTTTTTTGACCTGTATTAATGATTGGGCCGTCTTTTTTACTTGGGTCGGGTGTACGTACACCCGGATGCACTATATACGAACTCTTCCGAGTCTCCCCATTTCTGTATTTCAAAAAAATGGGGATCCCTTTGGTCGATTATATCCCTGTATACAAGCTGTATTCATACTTTTTTATTTAAACACAACCTACTACACATTTTATCCTTCTCCTTATTATTTTCCTCTTAAATCTTATGCCAAACCCTATAAGGCCATCTATTCGAGAAAGAAGGGAGTATAATATACTCTCTCTGGTCCTAAATAATGTTCAGTGTTTGACTTCATACAAATTAAGAAAATAAATTTGATTTTACTGTAGAGTACACTGTTGTGACACTGTTTGACACTGCTTGTCACTATTTTGCGCTGTTTTGATGTAGATAATTTGCAAAATAAAGAAGTAAAAGAAATGTAAAATTTGTTTTGGACCAATCCAAAAAACAAATTGTAAACTTTATTTAGGATCCAAAGTAGATAATATGGACCGAGGTTAGAACCCGATAATTCAGCCAATTTCCTGTCCACCGGCTCCTAAATGGTTGCAAAAAATATCCGGTCTCCGAGCTGAAAAGTGAACCAAAATGCACTTTTCATGCTTTTCCCGAACTTGTTTATTTTCCACCGCCACTCCGTTTTCAAGAATCTGTCTCTCGTCCATCTGAAATATCTTACCTGTTTCTCCGACCATATTTTATCGCGATGAAGATTCGGTTGAGTAATAAGATTTACAAAGTTTGACAAAGCCGGGGGAGTCTTTAGCTTTGCAATCCACATCTTTCATGGATGAAGCAGTGAGAATAGGTAACTACGACGCTGGAAGCGCCGCCGGTGGATATGGAGATAGGGTGATGGAGTGGGAGGACGGTCTTCCACACGGAGACGATCTCACTCCATTGTCTCAATCGCTAATCCCGCCGGGGCTGGCCTTCGCGTTTCGGATTTCACCGGAGCCACTCCGGACCATGCTCGATGTGAATCGCGCCTCGAACATGACGTTTGCATCTCTGCAGGGGGGGAAGCATCAGACGATTTCGTCCCTGAATCTTAATAATTTTAAGCCGTTTGACGAAGATCTGAACAAGGAGAGGATTATTACGGACGACGATACGGATCTGACACGAGAAGGATCTGATTCAAGGAAGAATCGGCGGATTGAGACCGGAGGAGGTGGGGTAGAGGAGGCCGACGACTCGGCTATGCGGGATGGAAACTGCGGAGATGGTTCGTCCGCCAAAACTGCTCAGAAGCGGCAGAGGCTCGTTTGGACGCCGCAATTGCACAAGCGATTTCTGGACGTGGTGGGACATCTCGGCATCAGCAAGGCAGTGCCCAAGACGATTATGGAGCTCATGAACGTAGAGGGACTCACTAGGGAGAACGTCGCCAGTCATTTACAGAAGTATAGGCTCTACCTAAAGAGGATGCAAGGGTTTCCAAACGAGGGGCCTTCTTCAGCCTCGGATAGGTTGTTTGCTTTGACGTCTTTGCCACAGAATTTGCCAGAATCTGGTCGCAGCGGCCATGGACATGGACACCATCATAATAGCAATGAGTCCAATGATCACATATCGGTGCCGATTCCTTTGCCTTGCCCGCACCAAATACTTCCCATGCCATTGTTTGGTATCACTCCTGATGGAATCAATGGGAAGATGGGAAACCAAAATGGTGGACCTCCTAGTCATCTTCATCATCAGTATTATATGGGCCAACAAAGGGACTGGCCAGGAAACCAATTTGGTGCATATCATCATGTTCCTCCAACTGAAAAGTAACTACTTGCTCAAGCTGTCAGCACTAAAATCAATGAGGTCAGACTGTGCATGTAAATGACCCTTTTTACACGAAGTACTCTAATTCATGTGTTTGATACTACTCCGTATTTCGTTGTAAGGAGTTTACATGATTATTGTACTCAGCCTCCCTAAAAGTTTGGCCAAAGTTGACTTTAACCTGGATTAATAAAGTAAAAACCGTGTAGTTGAAATTTGTGCAGAGCAGAGAGAATTAATTTTACCCATATATTCCTTACTTAAATGGAAATGACAAATCTTTTTGGGACATTCAAAAAAAGAAATTTGGCCAATCTTTTCGGGATGGAAGGAGTAGAATTTTGCTGGGAAATTTTAGTTGTGAGAATTATATGTAGATTAACAATTGATGTATTACTGCTATTAGTAGAAGAGCTGTTGTTCCTGTTGTGAGGTTGAAAATGAAGATGTATGGTTGAGATTCGAAATAAAATAATTGAAAAAATAAAACCTGTTTTCTTTTTTCTTTTTCAAGGAAAAAGGAAGATTTTTCGGGACTCACCAAAAAAGGAAAATAGGAATAAGGTAAGATGGTGGAGTTTTTTGTTATATCATTCGCCTTTCTTAAAGGAGTTGAAGCCAGTATGGTGTGTATTATTGCAGAACAACTTAATAGTTTACTGTATCTTCATGTAATACTATGTGTATACATTAATACATATACACTCTACAGGAAGGACACTCCATGCTCTGATAGTTTCTTGGATTGTCAGATGATAAGAAGACCCTCCAAGCTGTGATTGTTATCCCCATTCTTAGCTTATAAGCAAAAATGGCAAAATGTGAATTTGGGCTGCATCCTGGACAGAGTTATCTTTTTTAATCATGTTTACAGTTATTCTGTCCAGTCCATATACGACCATTTTTTAAATAAATACTCCCTATTTTATTAGAGTACTTATTAGTTGTACTGGACAGAGTTATCTTTTTTAATCATTTTTATAGTTATTCTGTTCAGTCCATATACTACCATTTTTTGAATAAATACTCCCTATTTTATTAGAGTACTTATTAGTTGTACTACCTGTTCCTTTTTAGGAAGAATTTTATTATATGTTCTATTTTCGGTTATTTTTATTCTTCTTTTTCCGTCTTTCTCTTCTCTTTCATACGTACTTCTCCACATGAATATTTTTCTTTAATCCCCGTGAAAATGCTAGAGTAACAACAATCATAACATGGAGTAATTATCTCTTTCAGACATTATATCTACATTGTTATTCTATAAATATATTAGGGATACACCACTACACTAGCTTGAATGTTATCTTGAATTTATTTCAATCTGAGATCATATATTACCATACTAGAATTGTACAAACTAAATTAGACCAAAACAGATTAGATGATAATAATATAATACACAAGTACAAGATTGGACTATAAAATTTGTCCAAATGGACAATTCCCAAGAGGAAAGTCAAGATTTACACCATATTTGGTATAGATGTATATATAAATGTTTTTTGTTGTCTTGTGAATTTTGCGCATAAATTTCTAATTGGCATATAATGGTTAATATAGATAAATATTGTCTTATGATTTATGTATCTTGATTCACAAAAACTGATGCCTAACAACTTATCTGATCATATTTGATTCAAACAGATGTAAAGAACTCTAGACCCTGTGTACCTTTTCTGTTAGATATGAAGCAGAGAAGCTTCTAATGAATCATTGTCTTTTATTAGTGTGGCCTCAAACCTCTTGTTTAAACCATAAATGGCATGTTTTGTTGTTGGTAACTGTTAAAACCTTCTCTCGGTCACAACATGAAATCCAATTGTATATCTAATCATATATCTGTCAATGGGTCTTTGCCAGTTGGGTATCTGAAGCTCCTCCAGTCACTATCTTTATTTGTCCGATTTTCTTTAGTCTTTGCTATTAGTCATTTATTTATTGTTAATAATGTACTGGTATCATTTCTGTCTCTTACCTTTGAAATGATTTGATACCATTGATCCCACTTAGGGGGACACCTTCAGAAATTGAACAACAGTTTGCTTCTTAGGCCAGAGTTTTCTTTCTTAATTTCATTTTTTCACCGAGAAACATGGCAAAGCTCATTCATGGAATTTTACTTGGCATATTTGGATCTATGCTTTACACTCTAATTAGTGTAAAGTGTAGTGCAGACGTCAATGAGATATGCTTGTATGGGAAGCATTTTTGCAGTGATTTACCTAAAGAAGACTAAAACATGTCAAAATTGCAAAAATAGGACCATTAATTTTCCGTTTAACTCGATAGGACTAAAAATAGGATGGAATCACAAAATTGCCTCTGGTTTACTCGCAGCCTCACATTCTTCACAGCTATGATTAATTTGTAAAAAATGATGGGTGCGAAGAATGTAACCGACGATGATAGCTCTGCTACATGCTCAGGTAAGCTCCTTCTCCTCCACCTCCCATGTTTTCTTCTTCCATGTTTTTTTTTGTTTTTCTTCTTCTTTTGGATGTCTAAATTATTTTTCTCATCATTTGAATTTGAGAATGTCATCATAGTTGTTTTATTAAACACTAATTTGAAAGTAATGTCACCGTTATGTTATCTTTTTATGTGAAAATGTCATCTTTTTACAGTAGAAAATGTGATCTTTTATACGAAAATGTCATTTTATGTCAAACTGAGATTACCATCTTTTATAAGCATACTGCCATAAATGTGACATTTTTTCAAATAACCAATAAGTTTGACATTCTCAAATTCAAGAAGTGGCATTTTCTGGGAATTTGCATTGACATTTTCATAATAAACATGTCATTTTTAATAAAGTGAAAGAAGAAGAAGTAGAACTGGGAAAAGAAATAGCAGGAGTAATACCTGAAACTCTGAAATTGAAGTTGGCGTCATCACCATCATTTTAGTTTGGAAGATAAATCTTCTCAAAGGAAGAGGAAGAGGGAAGATGGAGGGATGCAGATGTGTTTCCAATCCACTCAGAAAATGGGAAAAGAGATAGGTCGGTGAAATTTCCTATAAAGAAAACTGAGATGGAGGTAGCACCGTAGCGGATGCGACGAAGGCAGAGGCGGTGCGGTTGAAGTATCGTGCAGTGGAGTAGGCAACGTGACAGATCTACATGGAGAAGATGAGATGCGGTTACTCTTTGCTTTGGGGTCTGGAGAAGGATTCGCTCGATCTAAGAGGGAGAGGGGAGAGAGAATAGGTAAATGGGTGCAAGGGCAAATTTGGAATGGTAATATTCATATGTTTAATAATAGGAGTAACTTGGTCCTATTAATGGAAGAAAACATGTCAAGTCCTATTTTTGCATTTCTCACATCTTTTAGTCCTATATAGGGCAATTACTTTAACAACATTGGCTCCTTATTCGATTTGGAGTCGGTTAACATGAATCGATCCATGATATTAGAGTAAAAAAGAAGAATAACAAGAAATGTAAAGTGATAAGATAATAATATACTATACTCCTGTTGGGATATTGACCTAGAGGCTCAATACCCAGATCGGGAAGGCCCAAGATATCCGGCCCAAGTAACAGGCCCATCACTCCATGATGAAAAGATCCAGTAAGGAGGCATACCGAACGAGGTTCGGCCCAAATAAAGGTTGGCCCAGTAAGAAGACATACCGAACGAGGTTCGGGCTATATATCATACTTGGGCCAATTTGACAGCATCTTCCGTACAGCCCAACATCCCGTTCGAGCAACGGCCAACAAGCAAGTGGCCAGGTGCAGTTAATGTCAGACTATGACATCAGCAAGTGGAAGCATGGATGACCAAGTCGGTGGAACAACGGTCAATCAGCAAGAGGCAGCCCATGCTCTCCATTAGTATAAATAGAAGGTTTCAAGTCATTGTAAGGGTTAGCATTTCAATACTCAAGCTCTAGAATAGCATCATTTGCTCTTATTTCTTGTATTAAAGCATAGTTTCCGACTTACCGATCGGGAAATTCCTTGTAATCAGATTGGTTAATTAATACAAGTGGGCTTTCGAGTTTTAGTTAGTTCAGATCTTATATTTTCTTATACGCTTTGATTCTGGGTCATTACTGATATATCCAAAGTTCGTGTTGGGCTTTCGGATCTACGGGATTTACCCCCAACTCCGTATATGATAAAAATAACAATAACATAAGAAAGATAAAATGAAAAGTTTGATATGGCAACTTTCATTTACCTTTTTTCTATTCAACCACAACTATATATTTTCATTTTATTTTCACTTTATTAAACTCCGATCAAGGTCAAATCGGGAAAATTTTTATGAGAACATGGGTAAAAAGATAAAATAACACAAGAAAGATAAAAGATAAAAGCAAACCATTTTCTCATGATATTACTAAATTAAATTTAAAAAACAAAAATATGATTTATTTTAAAATTTTCTAAAAAATGTGACATATTCAAAGAAAAGTTTCACTTCTATTCCTGGCAGTTGTGGATAAAGAAGCTTTCGGAATTCATATTTGACCATTTTTCACTTTTTTGTTACATAACTATTACTACCTCCGTCTCGCTATGATTGTCCCATTTTACTTTATCGGTCCGTCCCACTAAGATTGTCTCATATCAAATTTGGTAAAATTTGTGTGACTCTAAATCATTCTTACTTTATCAATTCAATATCAACCACATAAATCACTTTTTATTAGTTTGCGTGCCACTCCTTCTTGTCCCATTGTTAGCGGGACGGAGGGAGTACAACAGTTATGTTTTCTTACCTTCGAATGTTTTCACTTTCTTACGGGAATTTAGTTCATTAAAACCAGTTTCAAGTGAATTGTTAATAGTGATGATTGAGTAAAGATGTTTGTATTTGGATTGAATTTTTTTAGTTTGATTTGATCTGATTTTGATAAACATATGATCATTGTGTTATGTACAACTATTTACAACTATCACTAATCTGAAATTTAAATAAGTCCAACTAAAACATTCTAATTAGGATCGAATGAAACCTAAACTAGAGCACAAGATAATGAGCTCGTTTGGTGACTCTATTTTTGGCTTATCAATTTATCGACCAACCTTTTAATCAAACATGTAACTTTTGATTTCTCGCAATGAATTGTGTGATAATGAGAAAAAGTAAGGTTGAAGTTACTTTTCTGGCTGTATTGGCTGAAGTTACTATAGATGACCATTTTAGCGATTTTTCATATATTCTTTTCTTTATTTTATTGATAAAATATATTTTGAATATTTTTTTTTATAAATCAATAGAATCTGTTGAGGTACATTATCCCGGTCTATTACTGTACAGGAGCCCAATGCATTACCCCAATACGGAGCCCAATCGACGAGGGCCATTTCAGCCTATCAGGTCCAGTTCGACCCACTCGGCCCATTAGGGTAGGTTTGCACCCCCTCCCCATTCCCCTATAAATATGGGGGTTTCCCTCCTTATGAAGGATCTTTTTTGGTTGGTCTCTTCTTCCCCACTTCCTCCCCCTTCTCTCTAGAATAGTAGTTGACAACTTTCATTAATGGAAGCTTCATACTTGTACTATGTAAATGGTGAGGAGAGCCTAATGACTTAATGAGAATGAGAGTGGCTTGGACATTATCCTAAACAGTCATGTGATTTTCCTCCTTTCCGGGTTTAATTTCCACGTAAAAATCATTGTTTATATTTTATTATCATCAACATGCTATGAAACCCTCCCGGAAGAGGTGTTGGACTTCCGGACTGCGACAAATAAACTCAACACTCGCATCGTCTGTGGGAACAGTTCAAAAAGATACATGTGTTCTTGATGTTCTACGAAAAAATCATACGAAATGGACTGATTCTCAGTGAATAAGTAAGAAAAAGAAAAATCATGGTCCGATGTCTCCGTACGTTCGTCAGCGGAAGAGCAAAACATTGAAATCTTATCAGGCAGCCCCTTGAGGAATCTTTTCCTCTAGCCAACCGAGCTGGTAAACGGTCTTGCATAGGAAGAGCCGGAGGGCGAGCAGAGAAACTCCTAACCAGGCATGCTTAACTCCAACGCAAATGGGTGGTGAGGCCCAGACGACAAA